TTCCCAAACAGCACCACCCCTTCAAATAGAATGGTGTAGAGGGCAGACTTGGAGGATGAGTCATCATCCCAGAAACAGAACCATAATGCTTTCTTAGCTGCTATAGATAAAGCCATTTGATCCAGAGGATATCCTAGTTACATCTAGGGAAGTTTCTGTGAAGAAGTCAGTTGTAACCTGAAGACTTCAGACTGCCTCTTCAATCTTGGCTTTTAATATCTTGCTCCATAGTAGCCTTTAGATCTTTAATCACATATTTCATGTTTGTAGAAACAGCAGCGGAAATCACAGCTGGCTGGCCTCCTGCAATGGTAGGCGTAAACTTTTGGACAGGTCTGTGTCCACCTATGATCCATAAGTGTGCAACTTAGGTAGTGTAGTTCTAGGGTTGGAAATAACTTCCTCCACAGGTTAAAGTCTGGCCTCTTTTCTTACCCCTAAGGCCTCTGGAAGTTACTTTGTAAGCCCTGCCCGCATGTCATGTGGCAGCACAGTGATAGGTCACGCTGAAGCGACAACCTTCTGGAGGAAGTCAGTACATAACCGACTCCATCCACTGTTTTCTCCTCATAACCAGATCCTGGTGAAGAATCAGACATCTGACAAATAATAATAACTAAATATTACCTGTGGTAAAGTATAAAGAAAACATGTGCACTGTTAAATTCTATAAGAAACCAGCGAAACCGCTTTAAAACAGGCTAAAGACAGCACTTATCCAAATCTCGAGACCCTGCAAATACTTACCAAATAAGTGTGGTATGTTTACTGTAATTTCCCCTTTATTTTAGGCACTTTCTGGCAATTGCCCTTATCCAAGATGGCTGCCACAACTTGTATTCCCACAATGCAAGTCATCTGTATTAGGCCCAATAAGGCACAAACTGCACACATATGGGCCTATTCCGAGTGTGTTTGCTGTTTAGAGACCAGGGAGAGGATTCTGTCTGAAGCCTACATGGCCCCTAAACACCCGGGGAACCGGGAATAAATCACTGGGACTGAGGGAAAGCAAAATAGATAACAAAAGTGCCTGCAAGGAAGTTTAAAAGGCAACCACGTGCAAAAAGTCAAAGTTTAAAGGCACCACAGTCTAATCTAACAGTTTCCAAATGTAACACAGTTTTTAAAATATATCAGTCTTCAAATGCACTGCAGTTTTCCAATGCACTGCAGTTTTCCAAATGTACTGCGGTTTCCAATGACTTGCGGTATTACATGCAACAGTATTAAATGCAAATTTAAATGAAACAATTTTAAATGCCACACAGCTTAAATGCAACACAGCTTAAATGCTTCCTAGCAAAAGCACAACCGCATAATGTACCACAATCTTAAAAATAAGGTACAGCTGTACAATGCACTCGTTTAACCCCTTAAGGACACATGACATGTGACATGTCATGATTCCTTTTTATTCCAGAAGTTTGGTCCTTAAGGGGTTAAATATATCAAAGCTTAAATGCATCACAGCATAAAAGCACAACTGCATAATGTACTACATTAAAACAGCAAATAAAGTAATGAAAATAAAACAACATACATGTCCGTAAGTAAAGGGAGCAAATTGCTTAGTGTTTTGTTTTGATGACCGTTGCAGGAGAGGAATCAGGGTGCGTGGGAGGGAAAGCTGTTCATAGTTTAATTAATATGCTTTCCTAAAGAAGTAAGTTTTCAAATACTTTTTGAAGGAGTGGAGATTGGGTGAAAGTCTAATAGAGAGGGGGAACGGTGCAGCCCTAGAAAAGTCTTTAAGGTGAGCATCAGAGGTAGGAGTACGAAAAGAGGTTAGATGTAAGTCTCTGGCAGAGCGTAGGGTCCTAGAGCAGCGTTGTGTAGAGATTTGTAAGCAAGTGTCAGGATCTTAAAGTGAGCCCTATATCTTGCAGGAAGCCAATTGAGGGAATGACAAAAGGGGGAGGTGTCGAAGGTGCGGGCGGACAGGAAGATGAGCCTCACCACCGCATTCATTATAGACTGTAACGGGGCAAGTTGGGAACATGTAAGACCACTGATAAGCGGATTACAGTAGTCAAGGTGAGAGAGGACAGCAGCATGGACAAGCACCTTTGCCGTATCAGGTGTTGAATAGGGTCAGATGCGCACAATGTTTTTGAGATGGAAGCTGCAGGATTTGGCGATTGATTGGACATGAGGGGTGAAGGAGAGGTCGGAGTCAAAAAGAACACCTTAGCTGGGAGCCTTAGAGATAGAGCCGATGGTAGTGCCATTGACTTGGAGGGACACAGACAAGGGAGTAGCAACACTTGAGGGAGGGAAGACCAGAAGTTTTGTTTTGGACAGGTTAAGTTTAAGGAAATGAGCAGCCATCCAGTTAGAAATAGCAGAGAGGCAGTCAGACACATGAGTCAAGAGGGGTGGTGAGAAATCAGGGGAGGACAGATACATTTGTATGTCATCCTCATACAAAGTATAGTTGTAGAGGGAGGTTGCAATATTAGGGCAGGTGAGATTTGAGATGGGTGAAAGGAGACTTTGGAGGTTGGTGGAGAATTGCTGTAGGTCAAGACAATGAAGATTTCTGCAAGACGGATTTGGTGAGGGTGAGGTACTTTGGGTATGGGGTACACAGATGTCAGTGGATAGCAGATGGTGGTCATATAGAGGAAATGGAACATTGGAGAGATTAGAGGTGGTACAGAGATTGGTAATGATGAGGTCAAGAGTGTTTCCTGCTCTATGAGTTGATTAATTAGACCACTGTGTAAGTCCAACGGAGGAGGTTATAGAGAGCAGAAGAGAGGCATCAGGCCAGTTAGGGTTGTTGATTGGGATATTAAAGTCCCCAAGAATGAGGGAAGGAGTGCAAGAGGAGGGGAAATGGGGTAGCCAGGAAGAAAAGTATTCAATAAATAGCCTAGGATGACCGGGAGGGTTGATAAATGATGGCAATTCTTAGCAGAGTGGGTTTAAATAGACAGAAAGTGTGAACTTCAAAGGAAGTAAAGGATAGGGCAGGGGGGATAGGTTGAAAGGTACATTGAGGGGAGAGAAGGATGCCTACACCACTTCCTTTACAGTTGTTTGGTCTGGGACTGTGGGAGAATTGTAGCCCACCATAACATAAGGAAGCAGGAGAGGCAGTATCAGAGAGGGACAGCCAGGTCTCAGTGAGTGCAAGAAGTGTGAAAGAATTTGAGATGAAGAGGTCGTGTATAGCTGTTGATTTTATTTTGCTGCAGATGGAGCGGGCGCTCTAAAGTGCACACTGAATATTGGTAGATGGGGATAGACGGCATGGTATTGGGATGAGGTTTGTGTGGTTTCTGGTTGACTTAGTTTGAGTAGAGCAGATGACGGGCCCTGGGTTGGGAGAGACAGCTGCTAGAAGCAGGAGGAGAGATAGAGACAGTAGGTTTCATATGGATGGAGTCTGGGATGAGATGCATTTCCAGAAAAAACGTGGGTTGGGAGTAGGCCAGGGAAGGCACAGAGAGGAGATGTAGTGATGTAGAAAGCTGGGCTGGATTGTAACAGGCAGAGGTGAGGAAGATAAAGAGTGAATGTTGGGGGTTAAGAGAGTATAGGAGTGTGCTAATTATTTGATTTGCAGCTGTTATATCTGATTATCAAGATTTTGTGGGTGAGAGTCTATCTATAAATTAAATGATGAGCGTGGGGTGGGCGGGCAAATGTGCAGCATTACATGTTATCCAGAAGGCTACCTTGCTTATTGCAACTGGATCAGCTGAAGGTTGACTGAGTGCTGTTCTAATGTGAGACAGGGAAGTTTTAAATGCACACTGTGGGAGAGATAGTTAAGGGGTCAAATAGGACTGCCATAAAGCTAGGAAATAGGAAGATTCACAGATGAGGATATGAGAGTTATTCAAATAAAAACAAACATACATTTGGGTATGTACCAATAAAGGGGGGGTGGGGGGGAGACATATCACAGAGGAAATCTTTTTATATATATATAGTGATCCTTGCTTGCTGATAGTACGGTCCTCTAGGGTAAACAACAGGCACAGTCCTTTTATTTTCATATAATCCAGGCACTTTATTTGTAAGTCCACACAGGAGACAGCAGCAAATGAAAACATAAATATAACACAAATCCCTATAAACAAAAACCTAGCTCGTCTGAGCACTTACTAACATCAGGTTCCCTATCTCTCAGGGGTTAAACTAGAACAAACAATATTGGTTTCACCAACCTAGTGTCTTTGTCAGCTCTCGTCCCGAACGGTTCGCCGAACGGATCGCCACGGACGGTGAACATATGCGGTAACTTTGACCCTGTACCTCACAGTCAGCAGACACATTCCAGCCAATCAGCAGCAGACCCTCCCTCCCAGACTCTCCCACCTCCTGGACAGCATCCATTTTACATTCATTGTGAAGCTGCATTCTTAGTGAGCTGTCCAGGAGGTGGGAGGGTCTGGGAGGGAGCATCTGCTGCTGACTGGCTGGAATGTATCTGCTGACTGTGAGGTACAGGGTCAAAGTTTACCGCATATGTTCGCCGTCCGCGGCAAACCATTCGGCGAACCGTTCGGGACATCCCTATTCTCTACACTCCCAGTGCTCCAAGCCAGCCTTAACTGCTTTCCTTTCTGCACTCCCAGTGCTCCAAGCCAGCCTTGACTGCTTTCCTTTTGCACTCCTAGTGCTCAGTCTCCTTGACTCTCTCACTGGAGAGAACAGCCTCTCTCCTACCTGTTTCCAGGGAGGAAGCCAGCAATCCCCCTTTACCTGCCTAGCAGGGAGGGGTTTATTCCCACTGCTACAGCTGATTATTTGCAGCTGAGCAGTGAGTTGGAGACAGTTCCAAAAAACTCTGGCCTGGACCTTATTTCTCCCAGTTGTGTATAAACTGAGGAGTGGAGCATTGGCCCACCCTGCTCTCCAAATGCTCCACTCCAGAGGCCCATAACTAAACATAGCTTTGTGTTGCACACCACACATACAACACGTACTTCCCCTGGGGTTAAATGTTAAACGCCTCTCTGCCTTAACTTTATCACAATATATATATGTATGTATGTATGTATGTATGTATGTATGTATATATATATATATAATACACACACACACACACACACACACACACACACACACACACACACACACACACACGTACGTACGTGTGTGGAGAGATATACACACTATTTAGCAGGACACCTCTAAATTGACCTGCAAGTCAAGGAGGATATCCTACTAAAAAAGGGTAAAGTAGGAGATCTCGAATGGACTACTATAACCACTGACTCATTGTTAAAAATAGCTACTACCTGGAGCTACAGGTAAAATGCAAATAGGAGTAACTATGATAAAGATCAATAGTTGAAACAGGAATACAGTGGAAATAGAATATATGAAAATAACAGAGCTGTGGATGGATAAGACTGAGCTCTAATGAGATAAAGGGTATTTACACTAAATCTCGTGCTTAAGAGTAACCCAAAACGATATGTCCTCACTAAACTTAACCATATAAATATAGTTGATGGGACATTGATGGAAAAACACAAAGATAAAACAAAGAACAAAAATCAAAATAAAATAAAATTTAAAAAGTGTAATTGGTAGTGATATATGTATCAGCTTGTACCTCAGATTAGTTGCCTTCATTGGTAAAAGTAGAAGGTAAATCTGGTAGTGCTGGAGAAAGTTATACAGTATTGATCTATATAACTTTCTCCAGCACTACCAGATTTACCTTCTACTTTTTCTACTTCTACTTTTTCTCTGAAACTGCTATGTTTACAGCTGCAGGGTTAACCCTAGATGGGCCTGGCACCCAGACCACTTCATTGAGATGAAGTGGTCTGGGTGCCTATAGTGGTCCTTTAAATTTCTCCCTCCAATGATATTGTAAAGTGCTGCAGAATACGTTAGCGCTATATAAAAACCAATAATAATAATAGTAATAATAATCAACAAAGCTCAAAGGTTTACATGAATTTATATTTAATAGTTGAAGAAGTAATTAAAAGTATTGGCCATTAATATGCAGTGATAATATTGAGGAAGGTCGAATACCATTTAGATTGATTATATAATACTAAATATCTTACAAATGTCAAGAATTTCTGAAACTAGTTTTGCAGTTTATTGCTTTTTTTTGACATGTCAGACATTGATGACATGGGTATAGGAGAGGATAACCGATTCATCCTTAAATGATCACTATAGGGTAAGGAACACAAACATTTATTCCTGACCCTATAGTGTTAAAACCGTCATCTAGTCCCCCTGGGCCCCTCATGCCTCCATAAAAATAGCAAAATCTTACTGTATTCAAGCCTGAAGCTGTAACTCTGCATGCTGTTAGACTCAGAAAAACAAACAGTCTGCTGACATCATCAGAAGTGGTAGCCTGATCCAATCACAATGCTTCCCCTTAGGATTGGCTGAGACTGACAAGGAGGCAGATCAGGAGCAGAGCCAGCATGATTCAAACACAGCCCTGGCCAATCAGCATCTCCTCATAGAGATGAATTGAATCAATGAATCTCCATGAGGAAAGTTCAGTGTCTGCATGCAGAGGGAGGAGACACTGAATGTTTGGATGCATTTTAGGCAGTCATGACCCAGGAAGGATCTCTAACAGCTATCTGAGGAGTGGCCAGTGAAGTTATCACTAGGCTGTAAAGTAAACACTGCATTTTCTCTGTTGTGCAGTATATCTGTATCTGACAGTGTTTCAGTGTTTGGCAATGTGTCTATTTCTGGCAGTTTGGCAATGTCCATCAGTGTGTATGTCTAGCAGTTTGTCTTTGTCTGACAGTGAGTATCTGGCTGTGTGTTTATGTGTGTGCGTTTCTGGCAGTAGGTGTGTGCGTCTGTGTCTTGCAGGGTGTGTTTTTTGCATTATGTGAGCATTCATATGTATCTGTTTGCATCTAATAGCATGTATTTATGTGTCTGGCAGTGTCTAGAAACATGTAACTGTGTGATTATGACAGTGTGTCTGGCAGTGTATAGAAGCATGTTGTGTGTGTCTGTTGATATGTGTGTGTCTTGTATTTCAGTGTGTTGGGCACACTGTATCTGAAAAAATAACTATTTTTGGCAGTTTATATATGTGTGTCTGGCAGTGTTTTTGTGTCTGACAGTGTGTGTCTGTTTTTTGTGACTGTGGATGTGTGTCATTGTCTGGAAGGTTAAGTGCATGTCTTGAACTGTGTCTGTCTGTGTGTGTGTGTGTGTCTAGCAATGTATCGGTGCGTGTCTGACAGCATGCATCTGTATTTATTGCAGTGTACATATCTGGAAATGTGTGTGTATATGTCTGTGAGCATATGGGTATATTTGACAAGCAGTGTATATCTAGGGAGCTCTGGTCAGTAAAATTGTAAGGATAATTAAATTGTCTGATGGAGCCCATAAGGTTACTGAGGCAATAGGAGACCATAAATGGTTTTGATTTCAAGTCTGAGATTAATATCAGGTTCAATGATATTGCATCTCTAAAAACATCTGATTTACTTTATAAGTGATGAGATAACGCTTCTTTCTAGTTGATAATGCACCCAGCAAAACTAACCCGTGTATCACTGTTCACTAGTTAGGTTTAGTTAATTTTATCTTGCAAGCATCATATGTAAAACATGTAATTTGTTTTGGCATATATCATTATTTCTTAATTTTTTTTACATCTTACATTTGCATGCAAAAGTTCAATCACTGGGCTTTTTATAGATTTGATTATGAATTTCATAATTGCTTCCACTGATACCGTCATATAGTCTATTAAGCCAATAATAGAAATTAGTCACAGTCTTTATGATTCAAAACTTACCATGTCTCTCTCCTGTTTTTCATTCACAGGTCACATGGCTGGTGACCATACGCGACTAGAGCTTCACCACCTGGAGACTGGCATAATGACCGAACGCCGATTCCTTTCAGCACCTCCATCAAATTTCCTTGGTCACCTTACTGCACTTCGCTATAATGGTGCCCCATACCTTGACTTGTGCCAGGATGGTGAGTTGGGCAGGCGATGTGAACTCAATGCTCGTGCTGGAGGCCTCCGTCCATTGTTGGCTGATCCTGTAGTCTTTCGTTCTGGTCCTGCTCACCTGGCCCTTCCACGACTTCAGGCATATGCCTCGATGCATCTTCTTTTCATGTTCCGTGGACGACACCCAGATGGACTTCTGCTTTACAATAGTGGGCAAGGTCCAGACTTCATTGCAGTGGAGCTTGTCAAAGGGTGAGTAATTATGTGAACTGGAATCATATTAACTCATGAAAGTGACATGCTACACATGGATGCTTAGTTTAACTTTAGATTGCTTTGTGATGGGAATCATAAACACTTTTGATTTACAAGCACAGTGCAACACTGGTTACAGAATTTCACACATAACTTGGGCAACTGAGAGATTTGAGATCATGTATCTGTATAAAATAATGTAGCTTAAAATCAGAATTGCTACCTGTTTTCTAACAATCATTACAATGTATAGATTTTTCAATCAAATGGAATTTGCATCTCCTCAGGAAACATCAAGTGACCTCCTCTGAAATCAAATATTAAGTTATGTGAAACATATAATATGTTTATGCCGAATGGGGTAACAAAGCACATTGATGTCTTAAAATTAGGTCATAGAAAATAAACAATTTATAACTAGCTCAATTAGTATAGCATTCTTGTAGGGTGCTGGCCTCTTACAGAATGTCGCTTTGATCTTTTATATTTAACCTCCTGGCATCGCTGAAACCCTGTCTGACTCCTGCTATTTTAATATAGTTCACACTTCAGTATACAGTCAGTTCCTCAGCTACTGAAAACTGGCCTTACTCTACTATATGATTTGACATTACTCACTTCAATGTAAACCACCTTTCTTCTTGCAGTGAAACATGCTTAGAAAACAATATATTTCTTAGGAAACAGAATGTCTGTATTATATATTTAAATATACAGGGGCCCCGGGAAATACCTCTCACAAAAGTAAGAGGTTAGTAGTTAGAAATGCACAAAAACCAAGGCTATGCAATAACATTTTGTTTCAAAGGACGATGTTCATTGTTGGATCTGCTAACACTTCCATCCAGAAGTATTTTTTGCCTATTGTAAGACACATGTTGCCACTTTGACCCAAGTGCCTTCATTTGATTGCAGGTAGCAGGTCGTCAGACTACCGATACAACCTAAGCCCTAAATTGAAGCTGCTGTTCAGGAGACATAAAAAGCAAATATACCGTAACATTAAAACATTCTGTTTAAATCAAGAGTTATATCTCCAAAAGTCTACTTGACTTTAATTAATATGTTTCATGTAAACATCAACACACAATCCATTTACTGTATATCCAGAGATTTAATGCAGATGATCCAGCAATTCTGATCGCCCCACTGCAGGTATCACACATGCTCAGTATTTTTGCAATGCTTTATCATTTGTGGTCTAGTACACATGCCCCCTCATGGTTTTTACAGCTAGTGATATTAGTTGCCCAAGTAATCAGAGAATGTAGGTACCTGGTCTGGGTTCTTTTAGCATTGTTACACACAACATTCTTCTAGTGTCTGCTGTAAGAAGCTAAATGGAAACATGGAAATCCTATTTAACACATGTAACTATAAAATGTTATATATATAAAAAATAAGAGATTTTTTTTTTTTAAACTGGTTATATTTTTTCAAATGAAGTTGTATTTTTAACTGAAATTAAAAAAAAATATGGTTCTAAGAGAATTAAAATATTAAGTAATTATTATGGCAACATGTGTCTTACAATTGTCCATTCTGTCAACAGCTTTAATAATAATAAAGATAATAATAAAGATAACTTATGATATACAATTTTATAAAGGTCATTACCCGCCACCCCCCTAAAATTCTCTTCCATATTTCCATATCTCTTCCATATTTAAATCAAGGCAATGACCCACAACATCACATAATTCACAATACATAACAACCATATAAATATAACATGTAAAGTGCCAACATTCATCAATTGTCACCTGGTAGGGGTATAACCAGATACCCCTACACCACCGAGGTTTTGAGCCACCAACAGACTCGAAACCAACCAAAACGTGTACGAACAGTGTACCCTTTTTACCAACTAACTGCCCTTACTCCTATATTAACTAATGCCCATT